AATTTCTACGTCTTTTGTCGTTATTAGGTGCTGTGACCCATAGTAACCCCAGGTACAACAGAACGAAACACTGCCGGGTCCTGCGCCATCCTCGTAATTGTTGCTAGACTTGAGCCCATTGTTTCAGCCACTGTGTCAGTCCATCTCATTGAGGGTCTTCCTCTTTTTCCCTGACCCTCTACTTTACCAAGCATGATGTCCTTCTCCAGGGACTGGTCTCTTCTGATAACATGTCCAAAGTATGTGAGACGAAGTCTCACCATCCTCGCTTCTAAGGAGCATTCTGGCTGTACTTATTCCAAGACAGACTAGTTCATTCTTCTGGTGGCCCATGGTATATTCAGTATGCTTCACAGCGCCATAATTCGAAGGCATCAGTTCTTCTTCGGTGTGCCTTATTCATTGTCCAGCTTTCACATGCATATGAGGCGATTGAAAGTACCCTGGCTTGGGTCACATACACCTTCGTCCTTAAAATGACATCTTTGCTTTTTAACACTTTAAAGAGATCTTTTGCAGCAGAATTGCCTAACGCAGTGCGTGTTTGATTTCTTGACAGCCCCTTCCATGGGCGTTGATTGTGGATCCAAATAAAATTAAATCCTTGACAACTTCAGTATTTTCTCCGTTTATCATGATGCTGCTTATTGGTCCAGTTTTGAGGATTTTTGTTTTCTTTATGTTGAGTATAATGCATACTGAAGGCTGTGGTATTTGATCTTCATCAGTAAGTGCTTCAAGTCCTCTTCACTTTCAGCAAGCAAGGTTGTGTTGTTTGCATATCACAGGTTAATGAGTCTTCCTCCCTGGATCCTGATGCTGCATTCTTCTTCATATAGTCCAGCTTCTCTGATTATTTGCTCAGCATACAGATTGAATAAGTATGGTGAAAGGATGCAACCCTGATGCACACCTTTCCTGACTTTAAACCGGGCAGTATCCCCTTGTTCTGTTCAAACAACTGCTTCTTGGTCTTAGTACAGGTTCCTCATGAGCACCTACATCTTAGTGGCTCAAAACAGTACAGATCTATTATCTTGCTGTTTGTGAGGCCAGAAGTCTTAAAATCAAGAGTAGACAGGCCTGTGTTCCTTCTGGAGGGCCTATGGGGAGAATGTTTCCTTGCCTTTTTCACCTACTAGATGCCACCTACATTCCTTACCTCATGGCCCCTTCCTCCCATCATTCCAACCTCTACCATTACATCTCCTCCTCTGACTCTTACTTCCCTGTTTCATCTTTTGAGGACCATTGTGATTGCATTGGCCCACCCAAATAACCCATGATAACCTCCCCATCTCAAGATCCTTAACTTAATCACACCCACACAAAGTCCCTTGTCAGATAAAGTGACATATTCACAGGTTTTGGGGGGTCATTAGTCTACCTACAACACTCGCTCACTGCTTCTGCCTGCCTTCATGGGAGCTAGGCTCCTCATAGGTGTTCTCACCATTCTCTCCAGTTGCCTTGATTTGAGTCAATTTGGACTCTTTCTCATGTTCTTGTCTTAGTCTTCCATCTGGTCCTGTTGTTTCATTCTTTTCCGTTTCTTTCCAGTCTCATGTCCAACCCTCTAGTTCAGGCATTTCTGACCTCACAGCCAGACTGCCAGTTAGCCTTCAAACTGGTCTGCCTGTTTATATAATTTTCCCTGCAGATATTTGAAACTCACCTTGAAGCTAGTACACATGCTAGTTTTTTCATCTGTACCTGATAATTCCATTTTCTGAAATCTTTGTTTTCTGTCATCTTTTATTTCCACTAGTTATGTCTTGTTTCCTTGTTGGAAAGGTGACATGCTTGAGGACAACACAGCTTGCTCTGGTGGGAAAAGAAGCCCACGTCTAATGGCACCCACTTCAGTCAGTGCTGTGGCTTTGGACAAACCACGTAATTTTCATGAATGACACTCAGGCGCTCTTGCTTTTTGACCTTGGCTGGTGTGCAGGGCTGTGAGTGTGGGGAGGGTTTGGTCCTGCTGGCCCAGTGGCCAGCCATTGGGAGACGGGCAGGAGGGGGCTTGGAGTGGTCCGCAGGAGGAGGGAGTGACCACTTGATGGGTGGTCTAGAACCCAAACCACAGATTCTGGTTCCAGTACACTCAGTTACCTAGCAGTTTTGGTGCTAGAAGCAGGCTTTGTTATAGTCTAATCCTTTCATTTTTGCAGATGAGCAAACAGAGACCCTGAGAGTTCCTTGTATTTAAAAAGTAGTAGTTACGCTCCAGTCCCATGTACCATTTTTCAGTGAGAAACTAGTGACGTGGAGTCAAGCTTTGGTCAGTGTGGATTTTGGGGAGTTTACTGTGAACCTCTGAAGCCGCTGCCTGGTGCCTTGGAGGAAGACAGTAATGATGATGTCAGACTGCTGTGACCCCAGCTCAGGCCTTGTTGGCTGACAAGAGACCTTGAGAGAATTTGGTCAGAGTTCAGCAAAGGTCCCTTTAACCAGCAAGTCAGGGACCTGACTCTGTGGAGGAGGGTTGGGTAAATAGGCCCCGGGTGGCCCTTGCATAAAAAATCACTCAGCTCCCTGAACAGGTGCCAACTCATTGCTCCCTGGGGCCTTGCCGGGCTGCTGGGACCACAGGCTCCTGCCTCATTTTCGTCCTTTGGCCCTGGCCTGGGTCTAACTTTGCCCTGTGGATTCCCAGGCCGTCCTACCCCCAACTACAGAAGGACCTCTGCACTCTTGCCTTACTCCCCAGTGGACCAGCTCACACCATTCAGTTTCAAAATCGGGTTCTTCGTGTTTGGACCTGTGACCAGTCACCTTCACTGGTGGCCACTGCTACTCGTGCAGCAGCCTCAGAGCATCACCTTTTATATTTTTGAAGCGATTTAAATGAGGTTTATTCTTCAACCTACTGAGAATTATCAAGTACCAAGCTTTCGTTTTAAATTACCTCTATAATTTTCTTTTTAAATTATCTTTGTAAAACTAGGTGATAGTTAAATGAAAAACATGTGTTGCTGTTGGTGTTTTTCTTTTTACTAAGCTTACAAACCTGTTGGCTTAAAGATAACAGGGAAGGATTGTTCTGAACCTGAAGCCGTGTCTTTTTAACATGTCACCAGCTCCTGGATTTAAATTGCTTTGTCTGGTCGATAGAGATCATTCCCTTTTCCTGAATCCAGTGGGGGTAGGAGAGCCTGAGGACATGAATGAGTGTGGGCAAAACTCTAACGGATCATTTTTATGGTAGTAATTTCTCGCAAATTTGATACTGAAAATGTGTAGCCTCAGATACGTTCGTGTTGTGGCTGGACCCTTGAACCATAGTTCTTGTCCTCGTTGGGGGATCTCATGTTTCTGGTGATCCAGGACCACTGTGTCTTCCCAGGCTTTAAGTTTTTTCTTCCTGACAGTATCGGTTGCCAGCATTTTGAACATGAATATTTGGCACAAGACTTAAATGTAAGACCTCTTCCAATTAAAGCAGCAAGCAAGCAACACAGTGTTGATTGTCTGTGGTAGATTACTTGTAAGTATATTATGTTGGGTTGTGTACGACCTTCTGTAAACCTACACATGTAGTGTTGTAGGTTTGGAAGGGACTCTACACATGAAGATATTGAGACTCAGAGAGACCCTGGCTTCCTAAGGGCCCCACAGGGTCAGCTGGAAAAGAAACAAGTACCAGAAGCCCTACCTAGCTCCAGCTTCCAAGGCGATGCTCTTCCTGCTTTCCCATGTTGCCTCTCTTCTACTGATGGTCTCCCACTGCTCCCCAACACCCACCCTCTGTTCTGGAGGTAGAGAATAGACCCATCATGTGGCTGAATATACCATGCCCATGCTCATGCCCATGTCCCCTCCCTCCTCCTAATCATGTTCATTCTACCACAACATACTCATCTATCTAAAAGAGCCTGCCTCCCACACTGGTCTCACCCTCCTCAGAGTGCCTGAAACCCACCCTGTGTTTTAGCTCATGTGACTGGATCTCTTTCCACATTGTGGTGTTAATGTCCATGATGTAAGGCCTGTCGTGATGCCTGGTGCCCAGTAAATGGGTCTTGACTGAATAGTGAGAGATGTGATGTAGTAAATGTCAGTCACAAGGTGCGATTGCAGTCTGGTGTTTTGCTGTCCAACTTTTCAGGTGTCTGCTTCTCTCTGACTAGCCACTAAGCCCCAGAAGGGTAAACGTGGCTTCCATGTCTCTCACCATAGCCCCTAGCGGACCTCTTGGTGGGTGGTGGGTTACAGCATGAGTACTTCATTTTCCTGCCACTTGAATCTTGGATTCAGTTTCAGATACGTTTGCTTTATCCCGACTCCTCAGAACATGGGTCATGTCTTCACTACTGCCTAAATACTCTGGCCTTGTGGCACCTATCATTTGGGGGAATAAAGAAGCCAAATGTTGTGGTCATTAGTTTACAGATTTTCTTTCTACACTTAGATACGTTGGTACTTATTTGCACTGGCAAGATCGTCTGAGTGTTAGGGGGAGATGCAAGCCAAATAATTGTTAGAATTGCTGTGAAAATTGCAGTGGAAGTAATATACCCCTCTTGGGTTAGCTTTTTATAACTAGAAAACCGCTGGTTCATTTTTTGTTCCAAGCACCTCAAAATCACCAGGATGCTACATTCTATCTTGTTGGACTTCTAAAGTAATACTGATAATGTCTATGGCACAGGTATTTTTAAGGCTTGAAATACAGAATTGTTGTTAGAGTCGAGCCAGTCAAAGGGGAAGAAACACTCAGATGATATGAAGTAAGACAGATTGTATGGCATTTATAATATTGGCTTGTAGTTTGTTCATAAAAGAGAATGCCTAACTGGAATTTATCTAGTGAAGATTAAACTGTCAAGCCCGCTGAAGTGAAAAACAGTGGATATCTACCAAGTAAAAGCATATTACTATTTTAAAATGAGCTTCATCTGTTCTCCTAGTTGCAAACGACAGCGTTTCGTATGAAGAAACCGCTTTCTGACTCTGGTTCATGTTTTTTTTCTTTTTTTCTTTCTTTTTTTTTTTTGCAGAGCCTGAGCCCTTGTGAAGCTGGCAATGACAAGTCTGAATGGTAGCCATGCCGAGAAAACCACTGACATGCCAAGACCATCAATCCCCAAAGTGCACGTGCAGAGGTCTGTGTCCCGAGACACCATTGCCATTCACTTCTCGGCATCCGGGGAGGAGGAGGAGGAAGAAGAGGAGGAGTTGAGGGAGTACCTTGAGGAAGGGCTGGACGACGAAAGCATTGTAACAGGGCTCGAAGCCAAGGAAGACCTCTATCTTGGCCATGACCCCATTGGCCCTGCTGCCTCGCTCATCCGGGCAGATAGACTGTCCGTGTCCCAGCCCCCTGCCATTTTGCCCGTCTCCGCGAACACTGTAAAGCTGTTGGAGTCTCCTCCTCTGGCAGCCCAAGTATTAAGTACAGTGCCATTGGCTCTGTCCCCAGGGTCTTCTTCGTCAGGGCCCTTAGCTAGCTCTCCCAGTGTGTCATCCCTTTCTGAGCAGAAAACCAGTTCTTCCTCCCCGTTGTCCTCTCCTGCGAAGTCTCCTGTCCTCTCATCTAGTGTCTCATCCTCCGCCCTTTCCAGCGCAAAACCCTTCATGAGCCTTGTGAAGTCCCTGTCGACAGAGGTGGAGCCAAAAGAATCCCCACACCCCCCAAGGCACAGGCACTTGATGAAGACATTAGTCAAGTCTCTGTCCACAGACACTTCCAGGCAGGAGTCAGATACTGTCTCCTATAAGCCACCCGACTCCAAACTGAATTTACACCTCTTCAAGCAGTTCACACAGCCACGAAGCACAGGTGGTGATTCCAAAACTGCTCCCTCTTCCCCACTGACTTCTCCCTCTGATACTCGCTCCTTTTTTAAAGTGCCCGAAATGGAGGCTAAAATTGAAGACACTAAACGACGCCTTTCAGAAGTCATCTATGAGCCTTTTCAGATCCTTAGTAAAATTATAGGGGAAGAAAGTGGCAGCCATAGGCCCAAAGCCTTATCTTCAAGTGCTTCAGAACTCTGCAATCTGTCCAGCTTGAACGGTCACTTGGAAAGCAATAACAACTACAGCATCAAGGAAGAGGAGTGTGATTCCGAGGGGGACTGCTACGGAAGCGATTCCAACATCCCCAGAAGTGACCACCCAAAATCAGCCGATGATCCCCCAAGAGAGGTGGAACTGAAAAGTTCCCAGGTTAGCAGTCTAAAGGACTTAGGCCTGAAGACCAGTTCTCTAGTTCTTGAGAAATGTTCTTTGTCTGCATTAGTGAGCAAAGAAGATGAAGAGTTTTTTGAACTGTATACTGAGGACTTTGATTTGGACACTGAAGGGGAGAGTAAAGTTGATAAACCCCCAGATATCCCTCTCAAGCCAGAGGTGCTTGTGGACAATGGTATGGCTCTTGACAGTGACGATGAGGTGGACTCAGCAGAGCAGCCCCAGGAATTACCAGTGAAGACCTTGGGCTTCTTTATAATGTGTGTCTACGCGTACCTCATCCTCCCCCTCCCCCATTACGTGAGTGGACTCTTCCTGGGCATTGGCCTTGGATTCATGACTGCAGTTTGCATGATTTGGTTTTTTACACCACCAAGTGCTCATAAATATCACAGGTTACATAAAAATCTACAACACTGGAACACAAGATCTCTGGATATCAAAGAACCTGAAATTCTAAAGGTAAGCCTTCTACACAGCAGCCCTCTCTTTCATATACAGCGTATTTTAGATCTAACTTAATTTTTTTAGGCTAGTTGTTACAGGTTTTTGCACAAGCATTGTGTTTAATCTTTAAGGTCTCCTCATTCTCCAAGCACCCAAGAGACCAATCTGGTAAACTTCATTCTAATTCAAGTTTCACGAGTTCACCAAGAAGTTTTCAAGGATCTCCTTGGTTCTAGAGTAGCACTTACATCCAGTTCCTAGTTCAGTCTCTAAAAATGCCAGGAATTTGCTTCTTGCCAAGGATGTTACAGCTGAGTCTTTTAGAGTTAAATATTCTGGAGACCCTGGGGAAGGATTAAATACTCAAAATGCAAGAGAAGGGAAGGAGGAAACAGAGGCAAATTAATGTCAGCATTGGCCCCTGCTGGCACTCCTCTTTCCTCTGTGCACAGTGGGGTGTAGGCTGTAGGAAGAGAATTCACCTTTAAGTGCTTGTCAAATGTCAGGCTCTGGGCCACCAACAGTGGCCATTCTATCCGGTGCAGGAAGAAAATATTAGAACTTTATATTTATTTTTTTCATCTTTTAAAAAGTTCTGGGTTTTCCTGTGGAGCACAGTTCTACCCTGACACGCACAGGATCGCCATGAGTTGGAATTAACAGCAACTAGTGGTTTTAGTTATTGTTTATCTTGAAAACAGTGAATTGTACTGCTTGGCTATATAAAAAACATAAGACTTCCTTCTGTCTTTGCAATCTCTTTAGAGGATTACCTGCGATGCACATCACATTCTGGTTTAATGCTTATTCAACAATTAAACTGTTTTTCTTTTTTTTTTAAAAAAAAAATTCTGGATTTTGTGTATGTTTTGTAATATATACAATATAAAAGTACAGTTGTGGTTTATATAATTTGTAAGTCATACACACATATACGTACATACATTTTTATATCTATATGCTTTTTACAGAAAGGATATGGAATCAGAAAAGTTGAGAGACCACTGCTTTATAAAAGTTATTTGATTCAAAAATCATAATTGCCCTTAAGAGTTGGATGCTTCCAGTTTTACAGATGGGGAGACTCAGGCTTGGAGTGATGGTCATTTTTCCAAGGTTTCGTGACAGTTTATTAGTGGAGGTGGGATTTGGAGCCCTGGGGTGCCCTCTTCGTGCTGTTTCCATGACACCTCTCTGTGGGAATTTCATGCCTAGACCTGTCCGGAGAAGCACTTACATTACAAGAGGTGTACAAAAGGGAGATCTTGGCTTACCTGGGGTGGTTTTGAACCTTAGTTACTGATTTTAACCTTTAGATTTTCAAGTTTAAAGCTTGTTTGATTTCTCTGTTAAATTAATAGCCACCTCTGTTTAAATAATGCTCTAAAAATGGCAAAATGATCTCTCTTTATTGCAAAAAAAACAAGATTAAGATCTTTTTTAGGGTCCAAAATAGTTTGTTAAAAAAAAGTCATAAACTTCTTTCCTTATTCAAACGAAATACATGGTCAATGCTTAGACAACACAGGAAACCCGAAGAAAACAGTTATCCCTCACCATCACCACGCTGAAAATGACCTGTCGCCGTCGGGCTGATTCCAACTCACAGGGGCCCTATAGGGCAGAGTCGAACTGCCCCAGAGGGTTTTCAACAAGCGGCTGGTGGATTTGAACTGCCGACCTTTTGGTTAGCAGCCGAGCACTTAACCACCACGCCACCAGGGCTCCCCTTATCATACTAGTAGAAGGTAATTGCAGTTAATGATTTGGTATATCTCCCAGTCTTTTAAAACATTTCTGCATGTATGAGTATATGCATACATACACATGCACACAAATATGCACACTCACATTCTTTTTAATTTGATTTTGTTAGGATCATATATTTTGTAGCCTTTTTTCTTTCACGTGGCAATGTGCTATGAGACTTTCTTTTTTAAGAGAAGCTGGTGTTGCATCTTGAGGATGTGACACACTTAAGCTTAGCATTAATATATGAAGGAGCAAAAGTGACTCATTTGCACGGTTGCTAAGGTTTTTTGATAGGGTGGTACTGTGACTTCCTGAATTACATGCCTGCTAAGTAAGTTAGTGCTGATTTTAGCAAAAAAAAAAAAAAAAAAAGATGCTTATTATATTAACTCCAGTGCCTAATGACTGACTTTAGCATTCAGTTTAAACAGTTGTCTTGGAAAGATTTAAATTTTAATGCAGTCAGTCTCTGGTGTTGAGTCCAATCACTGCTATAGGTCAAGAGTTTACTAACCATACAAAGGATGCCAATGAAATGGGATCTTAATGTTGTGGTACAGTCTGGTTGCTTTGATCCAATCATTGGAACAGGAAAAGCAGTACTATGTTGAGCACCTACAGTGGGCTAAGTGTTGGGTACATTATTTCATTTAATTCTCACCTCAACCTTGTTCAGTTGGAGTATGTGCTGATAAGGAAATGGAAGGACAGAGAAGTTAAGTTACTTGCCCAAGGTCACACAGCCAATGAGTGGCAGTCAGGCAGGGCTAACCATTTCTTTTAAGAAAGGTGTTCCATCCTCGATGTCTGGGATAAATGTATTTGATTAGTGCCAGCATTGTTGGGGTGAGATGGTATCTCGTTGTAGTTTAGATTTGCATTTCTCTAATGGGTAATGATCTCGAGCATTTTTTTCATGTGTCTGCTAGCCGCCTGAATGTCTTCTTTGGTGAAGTGGGATAAAGGTATTTGAATTTCACATCGTCAAGTTTGCCTTGTTGAAAACAAGTACTTTAGTGCTGTCATTGACTGACGCCTGTAATCCAGGCAAATTGTCTTAGGCTGTTTTATGAGTATTCGTCGTGATTGATATTTGATCAACTCTGTTGGATCGTTTTGGTAATTCCTTTTCATCCTTAGATGAAACTTGTTTAGAATAGCTTTTTACTAATGAGGAAAAGTATGTTTTAGCTTGAGGTCTTTTGTTTGGTGCACAGGATTCTTGTGATTTAGTGACCTAGCTAAAATAAGTTCTGTATTTAGAAAAGGGGCATTGCTGTCAATTAGAAGGGTAGGTTGTATATTGCAGGCCAAAGATTTCAAATGCAAAAATGCTCTTTGGACTTAATTCATTTTACTGAGTAAAAGATCATACTCTTGATAACCATTTAAAAAAAATATGGCACTCTAAAACTTTTTAGCAGAATTGGCATTAAATTTCAGACCCAAATATTTTGGTAAGAAAAGCAAAGTATAGTGGAGTCTAGCATTGAGCATCTGTCTTCCTCTCTTTTTCTCTCTGGCCATCATACTTTACTTTCTGTGTGAGTTAGAATAACACTAGCTATTATGGCAAACTACAAGTCCATTTCTTGCCCACATGTTATTGTTGTTAGTTGTTGTCGAGTCGATTCTGACTAATGATGACCCCATGTGTGCAGAGTGGAACTGCTCCATAGGGTTTTCAAGGCTCTGACCTTTTGGAAGCAGATCTCCAGGCCTGTCTTCGGAGACACCTCTGAGTGGGTTTGAACCATCAGCCTTTAGGCTAGTAGTCAAGCGCTTAACTGTTTGTGCCACTTAGGGACTCCTCTTTTTTTTATTTATTTTTTATTGTAATTTAGATGAAGGTTTACAGAACAAATAATTTCTCATTAAACAGTATACATATTGTTTTATGACATTGGTTAACAACCCCACGACATGTCAGCACTCTCCGTTCTCGACCTTGGAGGACCTTTTTTTTTTGGTGAAAATATACATAGCCAAAGATACACCATTTCAAAAATTTCTATATGTACTGTTCAGTGACACCGATTACATTCTTCCAGTTGTGCTGCTATTCTCACTATCCTTTTCCAAATTATTCCATCACCATTATCTTCAACTCACTGTCCCCTAGGGTTCTCATCAAACCTTTTGAGTTGTGTTGTCAATTTGATTTCACATAGATAATTCTTTTTCTTTTTTTTGTACTTTAGTTGAAGGTTTACAGAGCAAATAGTTTCTCATTAAACAGTTAGTACACATATTGCTCTATGACAATGGTTAACAACCCCGTGACATGTCAACATTATCCTTTCTCATCCTTGGGTTCCCAGGGTCTCCTCTTGCTCACATAACAGTCCAGTATGGGTGTTCTAAATGGGTGGATAATCGACTCCACATGTTAATTCAGTGGCCCAGGCAGTTTCCACCTTGTAGCTCCACGTAGGGCTGAGCGGTTTGCCAACTGCTAGGGTATTAAAGTTCTTTGCATCCAGGTGGCAGAAGGGGAAGGAGAAGTCATACCTACTTAAATGCCTGGGCTCAGGTGACACACATCACTTTCACTCATCTTCTGTTCCGGAGAGCTAGTCGCAGAGGCACTAAGTGTAAGGAGCCTTGGGAAATTTAGTACCTTGCAGGGCAGCTTCTGGTGGTACAGTGGTTAAGTGCTCGGCTATTAAGCAAAAGGTTAGTGGTTCAAAACCACCAGCCATTCCATGGGAGAAATATGTGGCAGTCTGCTTTCGTAAAGATTACAGCCTAGGAAACCCTATGGGGCAGTTCTCCTCTGTCCTATAGTATTGCTATGAGTCAGGATCAACTCGACAGCAATGGGTTTGGTTTTTGGGCAGCTTCTTCCCAGCACAAGTTCTACACTATGGAACCAAACACTATTGAAAAGTGTGCCCAAATTTTGGAGGCACATCTAGCCATCTCTGCCTCACTTTCGTAGTACTCACAGTAGCTATAGTTATTTGTTTATTGTCTGTCTTCCCCAGTATACCATAAGCTTGCTGAGTGCCTGGGCCATGTCCATCTTGTTCATCATTGTATTCTGGCATGTATTGGGCACATGACAAATAACTGTTGGATGAATGGACGGACAGATGAATGGATGAATGTTTTATCAAAAAGTTCAGGCAGTGAGTCAGTATTGACTCAGTGATAACTACTGAGATATCTCAGTGAAGTTGCTTTTTTAAAGAAATCACGGATCCCTGCTTTAAAAAAAAGTGTAGTCGGGGTTTGATAAGAGTGATCTTTTAAGAAGATGA